CAGCTTACACAGTAGCCTGTACACTTTTTCACGTCCTGATTCACACCAGGCTAGTGAAAATATTCTGGTTGATGATTATTTACACTCCTGAATCAGATGGTTTGTAGAACGTACTGGAGACTTTGGGATTATAACGTTTCATCGTGATTGGATTATCATTACCTGTTAGATATGCTACATGGTGAACTGCGCCAGGAGTCCCTCCGAGGGCTACTGCCGGTCCCAAGCCCGGATAAAGGAGGAGGGTTGGGCATGGGGATAGCGTCCCCATCCCATATAAAACTAAGTCGCTAAAAAAACGCTAACCAGAAAGAATTATTCAAACCTTTTAACCTCTGCCCCGGGAGTCAGAAGGTCTTTATTTAGAAGAACTATGACGCCTCATGATGAAAGACGAATTCCTTCGGAAGTCACGAGGTCGATGCCCCTTCTGACAACCAGTGCAACCATTTATTTAGGTACATGGAATGTTCGTACAATGTGGGACACCGGGAGAGCCTTCCAAATTGCTGCAGAAATGAGGAGTTACAACGTAGAGGTGCTTGGGATCAGTGAAACACACTGGACGCAAGTTGGATAACAACGACTAACTTTAGGAGAGCTTCTGTTATACTCCGGCCATGAAGTAGAAACTGCCCCACATACACAAGGAGTTGCATTGATGCTGTCCAAACGAGCACAAAATGCACTTAGTGGATGGGAATCTCATGGACCAAGAATCATCAAAGCTTCCTTCAAAACAAAGAAGGAAGGCATTTCAATGAACATCATCTAATGCTATGCACCTACCAACGACTACAATGAAGACGCTAAAGATCAATTCTACAATAGGCTGCAGCCAATCGTCGAGAAGTGCCAAACAAAGAGCCTGACCATTCTGATGGGAGATTTCAACGCCAAGGTTGGAACGGATAACACTGGATATGAAGACATCATGGGACGACATGGACTGGGAGAAAGAAACGAAAATGGTGAGAGATTTGCAAACCTATATGCCTTCAATAAACTGGTCATAGGCGGCACCATATTCCCACATAAACGCATTCACAAAGCCACATGGACTTCACCGGATCACAACACGCAAAACCAAATCGACCATATTTGCATCAACAAAACGTTCAGGAGGACTATAGAGGACGTGAGAATCAAGAGAGCAGCTGATATAGCATCAGATCATCACTTGCTGGTCGCCAAGATGAAATTGAAACTCAAGAAGCACTGGACAACGGGGCGGACAATATCACAAAAGTTCAATACGGCCTTTCTTCAGAACACTGACAAACTCAACAAATTCAAGTTAGTCCTGAGCAATAAGTTTCAGGCCTTTCATGATCTACTCAATGGAGAAGGAACTACTGTGAAGAGCAACTGGAAGGGGATTAAAGAGGCAATCACTTCAACATGTCAAGAGGTCCTGGGTCACAAGGAGCACCATCACAAGGAATGGATCACTGTTGACACACTGGATAAGATTCAAGAAAGAAGGAACAAGAAGGCAGCAATCGATACCAGTTGAACAAGAGCAGAAAAAGTCAAGGCACAAGCTGAATACACAGAAGTAAACAAACAAGTGAAGAAGAGCATCAGAACCGACAAACGTAAATATGTGGAAGATCTAGCAAAGACGGCGGAAAAGGCTGCAAGAGAAGGGAACATGAGACAACTGTATGACATAACAAAGAAACTCTCTGGAAATCGCCGCAAACCAGAACGACCAGTGAAAAGCAAGGAAGGATAGGTAATCACCAACATTGAAGAGCAACAAAACAGGTGGGTAGAACACTTCAAAGAACTCTTGAATCGACCAGCTCCACTGAACCCACCCAACATTGAAGTAGCACCCACGGACCTCCCAATCAACGTTGGCCCACCAACAATTGAAGAAATCAGCATGGCCATCAGACAAATCAAGAGTGGCAAAGCAGCAGGACCGGACAACATTCCAGCAGAGGCACTAAAAGCAGATGTAGCGGCAACTGCAAGGATACTTCACATTCTCTTCAATAAGATTTGGGATGAGGAACAAGTACCAACAGACTGGAAAGAAGGACTTCTGATCAAAATACCGAAGAAAAGCGATCTCCGCAAGTGTGATAACTACAGGGGCATCACTCTTCTCTCAATACCAGGAAACATCTTCAACAGAGTATTGTTACACAGCATGAAGGACTGAGTAGACGCCCAACTTCGTGACCAACAGGCAGGATTCCGTAAGGATAGATCGTGTACAGACCAAATCGCAACTCTACGGATCAATGTGGAACAATCAATTGAATGGAATTCATCACTCTACATCAACTTCATTGACTACGAAAAGGCATTTGATAGCGTGGACAGAACAACACTATGGAAACTTCTTCGACACTACGGCGTGCCTTAAAAGATAGTCAATATCATACAGAGTTCATATGATGGATTACACTGCAAAATCGTGCATGGAGGACAGTTGACAAAGTCGTTCGAAGTGAAGACCGGTGTTAGGCAAAGTTGCTTACTCTCACCCTTTCTCTTTCTCCTGGTGATCGACTGGATCATGAAGACGTCAACATGTGAAGGGAAACACGGGATACAATGGACATCTAGGATGCAGTTGGACGATCTGGACTTCGCAGATGATCTGGCCCTTCTATCCCAAACGCAACAACAAATGTAGGAGAAGACGAACAGTGTAACAGCAGCCTCAGCAGCAATAGGTCTCAATATACACAAAGGAAAGAGCAAGGTTCTCCGATACAACACAGCATGCACCGATCCAATCACAATTGACGGAGAAGATTTGGAAGATGAAAAAACCTTTACATATTTGGGCAGCGTCATTGATGAACATGGTGGATCTGATGCAGATATGAAGGCGTAGATCGGTAAAGCAAGAGCAGCATATTTACAACTGATGAACATCTGGAACTCAAAGCAACTGTCAACCAACACCAAGGTCAGGATTTTCAATACAAATGTCAAGACAGTTCTACTGTATGGGGCGGAAACCCGGAGAACTACGGAAGCAATCATACAGAAAATACAGGTGTTTATTAACAGTTGTCTACGCAAAATACTTCAGATCCGTTGGCCGGACACTATTAGCAACAACATACTGTGGGAGAGAACAAACCATATCCCAGCGGAGGAAGAAATCAGGAAGAAGCGCTGGAAGTGGATAGGACACACATTGAGGAAAGCACCTAACTGCGTCACAATACAAGCCCTCACATGGAATCCTCAAGGCCAAAGGAGGAGAGGAAGACTAAAGAACACATTACTCTGAGAAATGGAAATAGACATGAAAAAGATGAACAAGAATTGGATGGAATTAGAAAAGGAGGCCCAGGACAGAGTGGGTTGGAGAATGCTGGTCGGCGGCCTATGCTCCATTGAGAGTAACAGGCGTAAGTAAGTAAGTAAGTAAGTAAGTAAGTAAGTAAGTAAGTAAGTAAGTAAGTAAGTAAGTAAGTAAGTAAGTAAGTAAGTAAGTAAGTAAGTTTGTTACATGGTGAGCTGTCCTTACCTGTTCTAGTATGTTTGACTTGTAGTTTTAGAGTTTCCAAGGATAACTTCTGCTAAAAATTAATGTCTGTTTTGTGAAGGAAGGCTCAGTTACTGAGGTCCGTTCTACAAAAACTGTCCAAGGAAGTAGCAAAGGACAAGACGTCTGCAACTGCATTGTTTGCCTGAGAAACATGAAGGTAGAAATAAACTGGGTGTTATCTAATTTTCGAAACTCTCAGTACGAGTAGTTGTCATATAGTGAGTCGAAGGAAAACGTCAGGCGTTCATTATCAGAGAACAAACAAGTTCTAGCTCATCCACAATGTTGAAAATTTCATGAGGAATTGCACACAGCCTGAAGTTTCCCTCCGAAAGGGCAAACCGCCAGTTTTATATTTTGTAAACAACCCAAGAACAATATCAACAACCATCACGTTTTATTCACCCAATATTGTATGACCCCTTCGATTGGCCAATAGAATGCATCTACAATTGACGCACTGATACCATTTTTCATTGCGATGTATGATTTCTTTGCAATTTCATCTGATATGATTATTTTTTGTTCCCACAACGTGCATTTGGATAAGGATCTATGATTGCAACCAACCACTTCACTCAATTTTCTTATTTGTTTCACAGAGGTCAATTATGTGCGATCTAGAATAGCTGTAAGCTTGTTTTTCAGAGATGAGTAACTTCATTGTCGCCAGTATTATCGAGAAATTCAGGAAAGCTGGTTTCACTTTGAAAGTCCTGAAGGTTAACAGCAATGTCGTGTGGCTGTAATTGCTGAAGGTCTATATTCTGAATAGTGAATCGTTCATCCCACCTTAAGAGCGAGCAGTCGTTAACGTATGCATGCCCAATTTACAGATACTTGAATAGGCCATCAATAAATCACTGGAAAGTTTATCAGATATTTCTTTATCCGAAATCCATACACGAGATTCCTTCAAGTAAAAAAGGGCCTATGATGACAATTTTAGCGTCATCTTCAGCAATCATGGCAATGCAACTAACCAATTAACCGAGTTGATTCTTGAAAAAGACGATCACATTTTTCAGGAAAGCTTATAGATCGTGAAATTTGGCGGGAATAGAGAACTTGTGCAGTTTTTATGTCGAATGATTATCACTTTGACCATTGCTTTCGTTTTCAGGGACCATGTGCAAAAGGTTTTTCAAAGTGCAGTTTATAGTCAAGTCCATCGAAATTGTTTTCTGATGCCACTCAATGTGCTTTTGAGAATTGAGATAAACTTGTAGTCGTGTTGAAACCTTTTCTGGTGTGGATACCTGATTGAGTGTTCTCAGCTAGGGTTGTGTCTGGATACTCGCTAAGCAATAACTTCCGCTATTCCTTCTATAGTCTGTGAGAATCCAAAGTATATGATAATTGTTCAAAACATGTGACATGCATTTCGAAAGAACATACTGATAACAGTATTTGCTAGAGCGTCTGAAAGAATGTTTCAAACACAGTAATTCTTTTTTCTCCAATATAAATTGAGATTTGAAGTCTCCAGACCTTCTACAGTGACCTTGGACTGCCTTAAGTTGATGCTTGCGTTGAAGGTGATTCCCTATCTCACCCAGGTACGTGGAATTTAGGTTTTATGCAAAAACGATACTATTTGACTAATTGTTCATACAATTATAACCTCTTCCAAACCTAATTTTACGGTATATCATTCGTTGTCCCTGAAATAAAGTGTTAACTGCATCGTAACCCTGAATTTGTTTATTGAAGTAAAAAAAACTAGAAGAAAAACTGCAGTAGTCTATCCGTTCAAAGACAGTAAATTTTTCTGTGAGGGAATAATTCACGTGATTCTTCGTTGATTTACGGTAAATACCAAATAAAATCTCATCTGGTATTTACCGTATTTTTTCGGTACTTTAAAATACTGGAGACTTGATCTAGTTAGATTAAGACATGCTAGTTTACTATCTAAAGCAAATTCACCGCCAGACAGCAGAAAGCTCAAGTAATCCTAGGTGTTTGCTTTGGTTGTGAGGCTGTGCACAACCATATAGCTAGTCATCTGCATTTGTGTCCACTTATTTTTATCAGTTCGTTTTATAGAGCATGAACATAATGGTTGGAAAGTCAGAGTCAACCATTGGGTTCAGATCCATTCACTCATTCCCTCCCTTTGAGTCTTGATTTTCACTCTCTACATTTTAATCCTCATATTTATCCTTTCTCTTGAAACCATGCTCTCTAATGTTTAAGTCTTTCTGTTTTTCACTTATCTCTTGGTTTTAAATTTTCAAATATAATTGCTAACACCATTATTTTAACCATCCATCCTGTCGATTTCGTCTTGCCTTGCTGATACAGTTCGGAACCTTATGTTGACGTCCATATTTCCAAGACTGTACTTTGTCATGGTTGACGGTGTTCTAGGAACTTGAATTTACAACCTAACTAAACGATCATAGATACCTTTTGTAACTTCCGTTTCATTACTGTAGTACTTTCTAGCGGAAGTTTTATTGTCCCAGATTTGGTCGAAAGAGCAGTGGATTCCTTTGCAATTCACCATCCGTTTCTGCTTATAATGTTCGTGACTTAAGACAATATCGAGGCAAGCCATATAGCATGCGCATATGCTAACAAGGTACTGATCAATTGCAGTTCCAAAAATCAATGGTAAGGTTCAAACAACCAAAACAAAAATGCTTTTGTTAAGCTAAATTAGAAGGCCGAGAAATCTTAGCAATTGTTGGAAATATTTTTTTAAATTAACACAGTTCCCACAAATTGTTCTTAACCTTCCTTGAACATAGTGGGCAACGAGGGGAACTTAGCTTTAGCTTGGCAGGAAGTTACCGACTGATTGAGTCGAATCGTAATCAACAAAGTAGAAGATAAAAAAGACAATTTAGAAAACAAAAAATAGCTATCCAAACTAACCCAAAACATGATTTAAAATGTCACTTGTTAGTCAAACTTGAGGCGATTAGGCTTATAAAGACGTCAGGTGACATAGAGTGAAATCACTATTACTGGTACAGTTCTATTCGCTTTCTGGCTTTGTCTAAATTTTGAGGTAACTATCGTCTTCTTACATCCGTGCACTAAGCTACTATCTCATAACTCTAACTTCAAGATGGTAAACGAGACTACTATAATGAGAGAAACAGTTCAGTTGGAAAAATATCGCCACTGGCTTGTGTTCTAAACCATGTCTGATAACGTCTCTAGTCACTGTGTCGCACCATCGCTAGGACCCCAACCAGGGAGTATTGAAGGGCCAACGGAAGCCAGTCATCTAGTCTCCTTTCATACCACGACACCATGTCATACACTGGCCAACTTTTCGCTTTCTACAACCGGTCCCAGAGTCGGCAAACAACACGAAGTGGAATTTTATGGGACGACATTTGTAGGACATGTCCAAGTCACCAAAGTCGATGTTTCAAGATAGTGAATTATAATCTCTGCCTGAACACATGATATCGAACCTCTGCATTACTAACATGGTGTTGCCACTGGATAACAACAATCCTTCGGAGACAACGATGGTCAAACACAGACTTATTTACTTACGCCTGTTACCCCTCGTGAAGGAGCATCGGCGGCTCACCAGCATTCTCCATCCAACCCTGTCCTGGGCAATCCTTTCCAGCTCCTTTCAGTTGTTACTCATTCTTTACATATCTGATTCTATTTCCCGACGTAATGTCTCCCTTGGCCTTCCTCTTTTCCGCTTTCCTTCAGGATTCCAAGTTAGGGCTCGCCTCCTGATACAGTTTGTTGATTTGCGTGATGTATATCCTATCCATTTCCATCGTCTTTTCCTAATTTCTTCTTCAGCTGGAAGCTGGTTTGTTCTCTCCCAGAAAAGGCTGTTGCTGGTGGTATCCGGCTAATAGATGTTGAGTATCTTGCGTAGACAACCATTTATAAATACTTGTACCTCCTTGATGGTAGTTGTTGTAGTTCTCCAAGTTTCAGCTCCGTATCGTAGAACTGACTGTCTTGATGTTCGTATTGAGGATTGTGACTTTGATGTTGGTTGAAAGTTGTCTTGAGTTCCATATGTTCTTCAATTGTAGGAGTGCGGCTCTTGCTTTGTCAATCCTTGCCTTTACGTCTACATCTGAACCTCCTTGTTCATCGATGATGCTTCCCAGATATATGATGGATTCTACATCTTCCAGAGTTTCGCTATCAAGAGTGATTGGATTGTTGTTCTCCGTGTTGTATTTGCGGACCTTGGTTTTCCCCTCGTGTATGTTGAGGCCTACTGCTGCTACACTGGCTGTCTTTATCTGCATTTGTTGATGTGTATGCGATAGGAGGGCTAGGTCATCTGCGAAGTCCCAATCGTCTAATTGGTTCTGAGCTGTCCATTGTATGCCGTGTTTTCCCTCAGATGTCGAGGGGGTTACCCAAGCTCGGGTAAAGGAGGAGGGTTGGGAATGGGGTTAGCGACCCCATTCCGTAGAAATCTAACTTGCTAAAAAAACGCTAACCAGAAAAAATAATCCAAACACAAAGAGTCATCTGATATTCTCAACTCAAAGAGGCCAGTTTTCACAAGTGTAAAGCAAACCTGTTTTCACTGACGCGTTGTGGATCCGATATTTTACAACCAGACTAACATCACGAAGGCGCCTAAGATGGCCCAGATTGGTATGAGCCGCTCTGACTTTCACTATTCGTGAATTGATTTCATCACTCACGCCACCACCATCACTTATTCAGCTACCCAGATACCTGAACCTCTCGACTACTTCTATCTGCTCACTACTCAGGGTGAGTTCAAGATCAGGGTCCTGCCACTCTTGTACAAGTACTTTGCACTTCGAAGGCGCAAAGCACATACCATGCCTATGGACACCAATTCCCAACTGATTACGTGGCTTGGGTATCATCCTACAGTAAGATAATATCATCCGCGTACTCAAGGTCGAGAGATATTTCTCCAGGCAACAGATCCAGACCACCATTATTTACATTCATCAGAGCTGTTTCCAGAATGTCATCGATGGCAAAGTTGAAGAGGAATGGTGAGATTGGGCAACCCTACCTAACCCCACTGCTCGTATGGAACAATGGAGAAAGATGGTTGTATGCTCTCACTCTGCCTGAGGTGTTTGTATGTAGGGCTTTTAGGATGTTAATGAACTTCTCAGGCACACCCTTCCTTAATAGACAATCCCAGAGAACAGTCCTGTCCAACGAATCGAAGGCAGCCCTGATGTCAAGAAACACTACGATTGTTGGCCTTTGAAAAGTATGGCGGTGTTCTAACATTTGGCGGAGGGTGAAGATATGATCAATACATCCTCGACCAGGACGAAACCCAGCCTGCTCCTCGCGAGTCAATCTTTCTCGGGTTTTGAACAACCTACGAAGTATGACGGAAGCCAATAGCTTGGACGCGATCGGAAGTAGACTTATCCCTCGATAGTTGTTACAGGAACAACGTGAACCCTTTTTAAAGATAGTGACAACTATCGACTCATTCCATGACGTTGGTACACTCTGGTTTTCAGACCTTTGTGAACAACTCAGTCAGTTCCTTAACCAGAAAGTCACCCCATCTCTAAAAAGAGCCGGATGCAAGTCATCTGGGTCAGGTGATTTGTAACGCCTCAAGAGTTGGAGTTCCTTGCATACTTCCACCTCGTTAGGTGGATCAGTCGTCATCGACCATGAGTACAGGACAGTCTGAACGACTACGCTCAAGCAACAGACCAGTCGAACTGTTCCTTGAAAAGCTACCCATCGTCCAAACCATCAGATGGTATTGATTGGCATCCCATCAGCTTCTCTCGCATCAGGATTCTCACTGCCAGTGACTCGGATGAGTTGGAACAGTCACCAGATGCGGCTGCTACCTCCAACTCATTGGCACATTCGACCCACTAGGATTATCGGCCCTTTTCCCAATTTCATTTCGTAACAGTCTTCGTGTACGGTCAAACTCGTGGTTGGCCCGAGTAGACAGACGGGTTTCAACGAGTTGTAATGAGCCTGTAGAAACCCAGTGCTTATAAGCGGGACATTTCGCAAAGCCGCAAGCGACTTCACTCTCCATTTTCATAGCGTCATGCAATTGCAACCAATGCTCATCTATATTTTTCAGTGGGTTGATAGCTAGCCTTGAACCTAGCTCGGTTTGATATTTAGTTACAACAGAAGCTGCAATCAATTTGCTAACATCTATCCGTTTAGGATGATAAATTTATTGGCCACTGAAGCGTAAGGTAAGATTAGCGCAAACAAAAGCATGGTCAGCGTTTAGACAAGTACTTTAGAAGGAGCGGCAGTTTTGTACATAACGACGTTAGTGGTAGCTGATCGGAATGTAATCAGACTTGAGATGGAGAGGTAGGGCGCCAGGTAGCACGTCGGCGATGGTTGCGCCGGTAGTTAGTGCTAACCAAAGACAGGTAGTCTGCGCACAGTTGCAGTAGACGGTCATCATTATATGACCTAACTAACAAGTTTCCATCGGCCACCTAAACGACTCTTTTCTGTGCCCAGCCGCCCGACCTGAGCATTCAAGTCCCCGTCAAGCATCACAATATCCGTCGAATGTGCTTTCTTTAGAAATCATAGTAAAGGATGAATCCATAGTCCATGAGTGGAATTCACACTGAATAAATTAAGATGGCGAAATTTCATCTTAAATATATATTGATTTTCTTCCTTAATTGTGTTTGGGGATTGCCTTATCCATTGGTTTTCGCCCTTCCATCCCACCTGTTTCTTATTTATTTATTTCAACACAAAATATTGGTACAAGAGGTCACCAAATATATATGCGCCACATCATATTTGTGTGTGTGTGTGGGCTGTGATACTGCCTAGGTGCCCAGACCGAAACAGGTGGTTTTTCTTAGGGGACCACACCCCGAGCCTTTGACCTAAAGGTCTGACCCACAAGGCAGTGGAGCATCGTGAGGAGTTGCAGTCCCATGGAAGCCGGTGACCAAAGATTGGTTCATACCCCATTTGTTCCCACAGGATACTGGAGCCCATGTTCACCATTGGTTTGAGATCCGGGTAAAGCGTCGGACACTCTCTTTTCGTCCTCTTAATTTCGTAAACAACACCCTCACCACGAGAAGACAATGAGTAGGACTTCCCTGGCAGAGGCTAAATACGCGTGGCCGTGTGAGAGCATTTCGAGAGGGGGGGCGCGCCCACCCCACTCTCGGCCATACCAGGACATTTGGGGGGCCTGTTTAAACACTACTCATGTTTAAATCTTCACTTTAGTTGATATTATTTACTCTTCTTCACTTTTCACCTTATTAATTTGCTTCTCGCGGTGACGAAGTGAGATTTAGGGAGCTATGTCATTCGTATCACGTCCGATTTTTACTGACACTGAAGAACGATTGAACTAGCTTTTGGCTTCTATATATTTGCTCATCGATATGTTCCCTTGTTTACCACTACGGTGAGACTTGAACGTAAATTTTCTGATTGCACATGGCTAGTATCTGTTGTTTTCACGAGACATTATATTCACACTGAACACTTACAATTAAGAAAAAAGAAACAATCTTTTATAAAAAAGCTTTTATTGTTCCCAAAGCCGAGAAATTCCTGTTGAAAATATCCTGTATTTGTAGTTTATAACCTTGGGAAAATAGGGTTTTAGCATATTAAAAGGTTAATTAAGCATTTAGAGGATAGCCAGTGTAAGTACCTTTAAACCAGCGCGTACTTCTTGCATGGAGTTTGTAAACGTTAATTGCAAAACATGAAAGTGGATATTTTGTGGCTTTTCTAACGCCCATTACTCACCGATATCGCGAATTGATGATCGACATTTGGTAGATTATCAAAGTATTCATTGATTCAGATCATACTAGGAACAATCACTATTAAATTTTAGCTTTAATCTCATCATATTGTTTAAAAATGTTGTGACTTAAAATGAAAGTCAGATAAAAAGTTCAACTTACATAAGTATCACATGAACTCGAAGGTTATTCTGGTCATCTAATGATTGCTATAAGCATCGCTTGTTTTATCACTTTCCGTTTTGTACTGCTCTGATGCACACAAATTTCTATGTACTTTTATGATTACTCTTCGTTCGTTTTCAGAATGAATAATAGAGGAATCCCTATGTTACCTCGTAGATGGTTGAAATGTCCGCGTATGGGAGACATGATATTAGATATATTCATTCCATTCAAAACACCGTTAGACAATAAGTTTGATCATTTCATCGATCCGGATGATGTATTTCACGTAGATGATGCATTCAAAACAGCGGAACCGGTAAAGCTCTCTGATTAAACAAATGTTTATTTTTTCAGTACAAACTTGGTCTAATTATCGACTTAACAAAATCCCATAGGTTTTATAATCGACGCGAAGTAACGGAACAGGACTGTAAATATTTGAAAATAGAATGTAAAGGAAATGAGGAACGACCAACATCAGAACAAGTGAATCTTTTTATACAAATTGTTAATCAATTTCTCGACAATAATACTGGAAATCAGAAAATAGGTATGTATGCTTTTTATGCATGACATCGGTGTTTTTAAGGAGTTCATTGCACTCACGGATTCAACAGAACGGGATTTATGATTATTGCTTATCTCGTTGAAGAGTTGAACTATGGGTATGTTCGGCTAGTCCTTTCCGTTATTGAACCGCTTTAGCGTAGATATAGCGGTTCAAATATTTTCAGATGCTAGACCTCCTGGAATTTACAAAGCAGATTATTTAGAAGATCTCTTCACACGTTATGGGTGTATCGAGGATTGCCCACAAGCCCCTTCACTTCCTGATTGGTGTACAGGTATAACACAGTTGTTGCAATGCTAATGGGTTTTCAGTACATTCCAAAATTTTGCATCAGGGTTCTGTTATACTTACCAATTGATAAATAATGTCTTGGCAATAGGTTTCATAAACTAACAACAAGTTGTAGTAGGAATGGATTTTGTTGGCATCTGATCTTTAAAATTCTGATAATGATTACAAAACCTTTACAATCTTAAATATTTACATTTATTTAAACACATAAACATTGCTACAAGGAGGCGCCGAATAGATATGCGCCACACTTCGTCATTTGATTTATGTGAGGGCTGGGATACTGCTCGGGTACCAAGACAGGTGGTTTCCTTAGGGGGCCATATCCCGAATCTTTGACTTAAAATTGTAATCCACAAAGCAGTGGAGCAACGTCAAGAGACGCAGTCCTGTGGTAGCCGGTGACCAACAGTATGTTCATACGCCCGTCGGTCTACTCCGGGTGATCGTGAGTTTGACCATAAACAAAGGATGTTACGTAAGGAAATTGGGCAAAGCTTGCGTAAGGACCGAGAAGCCTGGTGGTCGAAGCGTGCTAACGAGCTGGAAGCAGCAGCTGCATCTGGTAACTACCGGAAGCTCTTCCAACTCATCCGAGCCACTGGCAGCAAGAAGTCTGGTGTGAGTGAAACAATCTGCGAAGATGATGGGATGCCAATCACTAACATCCATCGACGTCTTGGATGATGGGCAGAATTTTGCGAAGGGTAGTTCAACTGGCCTGCTGTTCCGGCAACATCGATCAGACTGTCCTGACCTCCATGGCCGGTGACGACTGGTCCACCAAACGAGGTGGAAGTATGCAAGGAACTCCAACTCTTGAGGCGTTACAAATCACCTGGCCCAGATGACTTGCATCCGGCTCTTTTTAGAGATGGGGTGACTTTCTGGTTAAGGAACTGACTGAGTTGTTCACAAAGGTCTGAAAACCAGAGTGTACCAACGTCATGGAATGAGTCGATAGTTGTCACTATCTTTAAAAAGGGTTCACGTTGTTCCTGTAACAACTATCGAGGGATAAGTCTACTTCCGATCGCGTCCAAGCTATTGGCTTCCGTCATACTTCGTAGGTTGTTCAAAACCCGAGAAAGATTGACTCGCGAGGAGCAGGCTGGGTTTCGTCCTGGTCGAGGATGTATTGATCATATCTTCACCCTCCGCCAAATGTTAGAACACCGCCATACTTTTCAAAGGCCAACAATCGTAGTGTTTCTTGACATCAGGGCTGCCTTCGATTCGTTGGACAGGACTGTTCTCTGGGATTGTCTATTAAGGAAGGGTGTGCCTGAGAAGTTCATTAACATCCTAAAAGCCCTACATACAAACACCTCAGGCAGAGTGAGAGCATACAACCATCTTTCTCCATTGTTCCATACGAGCAGTGGGGTTAGGTAGGGTTGCCCAATCTCACCATTCCTCTTCAACTTTGCCATCGATGACATTCTGGAAACAGCTCTGATGAATGTAAATAATGGTGGTCTGGATCTGTTGCCTGGAGAAATATCTCTCGACCTTGAGTACGCGGATGATATTATCTTACTGTAGGATGATACCCAAGCCACGTAATCAGTTGGGAATTGGTGTCCATAGGCATGGTATGTGCTTTGCGCCTTCGAAGTGCAAAGTACTTGTACAAGAGTGGCAGGACCCTGATCTTGAACTCACCCTGAGTAGTGAGCAGATAGAAGTAGTCGAGAGGTTCAGGTATCTGGGTAGCTGAATAAGTGATGGTGGTGGCGTGAGTGATGAAATCAATTCACGAATAGTGAAAGTCAGAGCGGCTCATACCAATCTGGGCCATCTTAGGCGCCTTCGTGATGTTAGTCTGGTTGTAAAATATCGGATCCACAACGCGTCAGTGAAAACAGGTTTGCTCTACACTTGTGAAACCTGGCCTCTCCGAGTTGAGGACGTTAGACGACTCTCTGTGTTCGATCATCGCTGTCTCCGAAGGATTGCTGACATTCAGTGGCAACACCATGTCAGTAATGCAGAGGCTCGTCATCGTGTGTTCGGGCACAGAGATGATAATTCTATTGGTTTTACCATCTTGAAACACCGACTTCGGTGGCTTGGACATGTTCTCTGAATGTCGCCTCAGAGAATCTCACGTCGTGCATTATTTGCCGACTCTGGGACTGGTTGGAAAATGCGGAGAGGTGGTCAGTGCATGACATGGTGTCGTGGCATGAAAGAAAGCTGCAAAGGACTGGCTTGTGTTGGTCCTTCACGACTCCCTGGTTGGGGTCTGAGAGATGGTGCTACACAGTGGCTAGAGACGTTACCAGATATGGCTCAGAATAGAAGCCAGTGGCGATCCTGCTGTAACCTTCTTTTAATTTCTTCATAAAAAGTTTCTGTGTCTCCCTTACCTGAAAGATTTCTTCCGATTGTACCTTTGCGTTCCCTGATTGCTAGCACATTACCTTACACCAATCTCTTCGTTATTGTTCTCTCTTTTTTTTGCGCTCCTTAGCTTTTTTTTTCTTTTTTTCCCTTTCTATTCCTCTTCTAATTTTCATTGTTTTGTGTGGCGCATATATATTGGCGCTCTCTTGTACCAATATTCATGTGTCCAAATAAATGAATCATACACCATTTGTTTCCTTAGGATCTTCGAGCCCATGTGTACCACTAGTTTGGAGTCAGGGTTTTCCAACTCCACTAGGACCCACATCTGCTGGGATCACCGGATAGGTAATCGTGAGGTTAGATGCACAATATTAGTGAATGAGGGTAAATCAGTTGATGAGGTTGTGAATTTTCATCGACTGAGATGGTTAGGCCACGTGTCACGTATGCCTGAACACCGTTTACAACGACGCGCAATGCTGACCAATGTCGGGGATGGTTGGAAGAAAATTGAATGTGGCCAAACCAAAACGTGGCATCAGTGTTTGAAGTCGCTAACTTCTAGTTTGAGCCATGTTAGTAGATTCGGACTACTTGGTTAGGGTCCGCGTGCCTATCGTAACCAATGGTTGGAGACTCTGGGTGACATGGCTCAGAATCTATCACAATGGTGTAGATGTATACACCTTCTATCTTCGCTTCAACTATGAGGTTAAATTAATTTATATCTTTCCGTATTATATCCTTATACACAATCTTTCTTTTATATATTACTATCATTGAGGTAACTACTTCTATGAATTTGGTATTCGTCTTGTTGTGTTAATGAGGTATGGCGAATTGGGCCGATGCATATATGTGCATGATCCTACGTTGTAGCTGATTGACAAGGACCCTTCGTGTCCATCAGCCCGATCAAGGCGCCGGACATTCGCTTTTCGTCCTCTTAATTTCGTAAACAACACCGGAGCGAGAAGGTAGTGAGTAGGACCTCCCCGTCATTGGCCGTAATGGCGTGGCTATATGAGAGCATTTCGAGAGGGAGAGTTGACTCTATTACTTTAACCTTGGAGTTAAACCTAATAAAGCACTAATTGATAGGCATATATATACATTCCCCCTAGTCTATTATGTGATTTTCACTGTTTTCCAAAGAGCTATAGGATGGAGTCCTGAACATCATATAGATTCACTGTTTCGTATTTCTGTCCACTCTTTAGAAATATCTAATAGTAACCGACTACTGAAATTAAATTTATCATTATGAACATCCACTGTATATATTTAGTTACTAAGTGCATAATATCAGTTGGTTTCTGAAGGAAACTTTGTTCATGTATTTTTTTGTAGAACGTTCATAACGATTGTGTGTAAACAATATTCGATGCATTTTTCGAAAAGAATGGATTGATTCTCTAAACGTTTGATACACCTAATGAAGTACAGCAGAATAAAGTGACTTATCTGTCCAGAAAATATGAATTAGTTTGACATAGACGGAGAGTTTCCTCAGCTGATTTGGCGACGAACTTCAGCATTAGTTGCTTTACGGTCCTAGCACAATTAATTTTTTGAAGACATATGTTGTCTGATTCATGGATCTTCCCATACATTATCCTTGCTTGACTACCATATGCTGTAGTTAAATAATAGGAGCGTGTAGGAATCAAATTAAAAGACCGTTGGTAATAGAATAAACTACTTTTTTCATTGCGAAAGTCGTCATAATGCGCTTCGATTAAGTTGATCAAGGTAATCGTATGGCGAGGCACCAATATGTTCCTATTCTTAAATCTGGCAAGCTGTAGAGATTTGATCTACACAAACTTTGAAGTCCTAAGCGATCGCCAGTCTTCCAGTAGTCGTTACCTCTAAGACTTTTGCAAGATTTATATAAAACGGGACATGTATTACTTGTGCCCAACCACCGACATGTGATTTTTTATGGTGTATGAGTAGGATGGAAGAAAGCAGTTGTTGGGAAACGGGTACTAGGTAGGGATTGCAAATCAATTGATGACGTAGTGAAACTTCATCAGTTGAGATGGCTGGGACATGTGTTACGTATGCCCAACGACCGACTGCCTCGACATGCGATGTTCAGTGGTATAGGAGTAGGTTGGAAGAAAGCTAGGGGCGGCCAGACCAAAACATGGCACAAGTCCATAAAGTCACTGACAAGTGGACTGAGTCATGTTGGTAGGTGTAGACTACCTGGTTGGGGACCGCGAGATGATAGCAACCGATGGTTAGAGACCCTGAATGACATGGCTCAAAATCGTTTGCAATGGCGCAGGTGCATCCACTCTTTGTGTTCTCCCAAATTTTGATCCCCTGATTCCCCCTTGTCATTTTTTCTCTTTCCAAATTTATTTCATTGGATTATACGCTTTGAATAACATATTCAGACCCTAATGTTTCCGATTACTACTTATACTTTTGTTACCTCTATCACTATGAGGTTTGAATCGACAATTTATCTCTGTGATAATTTGATATGGCAACTTGAATTGACGTACATACGTACGAAGTTCTACGTTGTTGGCGGACTGAGTATACAAAGCTATCTTAACGAAAACGGATAAAGTGTTTGATACAGTGCAATGTGTAGGTACGTTTGTATGCAATTCCAAAAATGTGAACTTTGTTAAAACTAGTATGTTTTGTTACTTTATATACTTCTACAAGGTGCTAGCAATTATATGAGTAAAATTTTTTTGAAATTCATTTGTAGAGGACGAAGAATACAGTTCACATACGCCAGCTAAGAGAAAAAACGAAGAATTGTGTACAAACGTGGATAATCAAGAGACAGTTTCTTCAAAAATATCACGCCTCAGCGATCATATTGAAGAAAATGCGCCTTTTAGTGTTCCTACAAGCAAAAGCTTTCCTCCACCGCCTCCAGGAAATCCGGATTTTATGGAAGGGGTTTCTAAGGTTGATGTTTTGGCTCAGGACAGTCCAGAAGCACATGAGGCACGCGATTTATCGGACAAACTGTGCAAAATGGGTGGTTTTTTATTTATAGAGGGTCACTTGTTTCCTGCAACCGATTCAACATCTGAAAATGAACAGGAACCTGAAAATTTAGAAGCAAATCGCAGCGAAAAGACTTCAAAACCATCTAAAAGGCCTTTACGTTTCAGAGGTAGTCAACCAGTCTCCATAACACAACGAAATATAGCAGCTCTGGTCAACTCTGATTATTGTGTAACGTACAAGGCTGATGGCACTCGTTATCTTATGCTCATAATGGGTCCTGGTCGTGTCTATCTAATAGATCGGGGAAATTTTGTCTATAAGCCAAATGTTTTGCATTTTCCGACAGTATCGTGGATTCGCGAAAATGAAAAACGTGGTCCAAATTCTGGTCGTCCAGACTTCTTAAATGATCCTAATGGTCACTTGTTCAATACGCTTTTGGACGGTGAACTTGTACTTTGTCACGACCATTCTAAACCGCCTAACATTTCCACATCAGAAATATCTGGAACACCTAGATTCTTAATCTATGATATAATTACTTTAAACAATAAGCCTGTTGGCCGGTCTGCATTTTTTGAACGTTATTCGACAATTGACAAGCAAGTTATATGGCCCAGAAATACCGGTGGTCACTTGGGACTAGTTGACTTTAGTACGCAATCTTTTTCAGTCAGGCGAAAAGCATTTCGCGCTCTGCAAGATACTGAAGAGGTAAGATTAACCAGTATATTTCCTTCATTTTGATTATAAAATGGACTATATTTAGTCATAGCAAACAATTTCGAGTATTAATGTGTAAAATGCACTCCTGTAAACAATACTGCTTCGTAGTTCAGTTCAAGTTAAAAAGGAAGTTGATTCACAGAAAAAAACAGCCCCACCTTTCTTTGAAGTAAATTACTATTTGTAGATTTTTAACTATTTTCTTCATACACACTATTTGAAATCACATATCAACAAACGATTACGTTTTTTTATTCGGTTTCAGCTACTTAAGCCTGCGTTCTTGCAAAGCTTGGACCACTCAACAGATGGCCTTATATTTCAGCCTTGTGGTCCTGAAGATTTTTATGTTCTTGGAACTTGCCCACAAACCTTAAAATGGAAACCTCCAAGTATGAACACAATTGACTTCAAATGTAAAGTAGAATATCAACGAAAAGTTGGGTAAGGCTACAACTTATTCTTCTATTACAATTCGTCTAACTTGTTTTTTCCGTTATACGTGTTAATGATATGACTCAAGGGATTGATAAGAACATGGAAAAGAATTTGCACCTATAACAAAGACTTCTAGTAACTTATCTCTCAATGAGCAACAGGAAGGTAAGTGGTCCGTGACTACAAAGAATTATTATTTAGGAACAATACAAATTCTTTATTGGTCCAACGGCAAAATAAATCGACCAACAAACTTACTCAGATCGCGTGTGAAATAGAAAGTCTATTTCATCAACCTATAGTCTATACTATTGGTTTCTAATTTAGTTACTCCTTATCAATCAATTTATGTAGTGCCAAATCACGGAAGTTTGAAATAAATCCATGTAGAACATTATCGAATGAATCATTATATGGTAAATATTTAAATAATAATATTACTTATGCCTTTTACCCCTCATGGAGGAGCATAGGGCTCCCACCAGCATTATCCAACTAACTCTGTCTTGGGCAATCCTTTCCAGTTGATATTCATCCTTCTCATGTCTGCTCCCAATTATCGGTGCAGCGTGTTCTTTGACCATCCTCTTTTGCTTTTCACTTCAGTATTCCAAGTTAGAGCTTGTCTCGTGGTACAGTTTGATGATTTCCGCAATGTATTTCCTATCCACCTTCAGCGTCTTTCTTAACTTCCTCTTCATCTGGGAGCTGGTTTGTTCTCTCCCACAGAAGGTTGTTGCTGATGGTATCTGGTCAACGGACATTGAGTATCTTACGTAGAAAATTGTTCATAAATACTTGTACATTTTGATGATGGTTGTGGTAGTTCTCTAGGATTCAGCTCCGTACCTTAGAATGGGCTTACAGTTCGTAATGAAAATTTCTGACTTTAGAGTTGACTGACAGTTGTTTTGAGTTGCATATGTTCTCCAACTGTAGGAATGCTGCTCTTGCTTTGCCGTCTGCATCGAATCATCCTAGTTCGCCGAGGATGCTGGTTAGGAACTTGAGACTTTCCACCTCTTCCAGAGTTTCTCCATCAAATTTGATTAGGTTCGTACTACCTATGTCGCATTACAGGACATCGTTTCTTCCTTTGTTAATGTTAGGGCCTATTGCTGCTGAGGATACTGCTACCCTGACTGCATTTTTTGGTGTGTATGAAATAGAAGAGCCAGGTCGTCTGCAAAGTATATATCGTCTAGCTGCATCTAAGCTCTCCATCGTAATTCGTGCTTCCCCTCAGATGTTGAGGTCTCCATAATCTAGACAACCACGTATTTCTGATTGTCAGCTGTAAGGCTTCTCTTCACTTGTTTGTTTGCTTCTGTGTATTCAGCTTGTGTCTTGACTTTCTCTGTTCTTGTTCGCCTGTTGGTTGTTGCCTTCTTGTTCTTCTTTTCTTTGATCCTATCCAGAGCTTCGATAGAGATCGATTCCTTATGACTGATGATGCTTCTTGCGACCTTCCGACACGTTGAAGTCATTGATTCTTTGGTCCTTCCTCAGTTATCCTCTATGGTAGTTTCTGCTTCTGTGAGGCGATCTTGTAAGGCTTGGAACCTGTTGTTGAGGGTTGTCTTGAATTAGTTGAGTTTGTCAGTATCTAGAAGGAAGGCTGTGTCAAACCTTTTTAATGCTGTCTACCAAGTTGTCCAGTGCTTGCTTAGCTTCAGTTCTACCTTTACAACTAACAAGCGGTGATCTGAAGCTATTTTTTTTCCTATCTTGGTCCTCACGTCTTTCATTGACCTTCTGGAATTTTTAGTGATGCAAATGTGATCGATGTGGTTCATTGTATTGTGATCCAGTGAGACCTATGTAGCTTTGTGTATGCGTTTGTGGGGGAATGTTGTGCCACCTACAGTCATTTTGTTGAATGCAGACAAACTTGCCAATCTGTCATTATTTTCGTTCCTTTCTCACAGACAGTCCATGTCGTTCCATGATATCTTCACACCCGGCGTTGTCCATTCCGACCTCTGCACTCAAGTCTCCCATCAGGAGGGTTTGGTCCTTTCCTGAGTACTTCGCTGTGATCGATTGTAACCTCTCGTAAAACCGATCTTTATCATCGTTTCTATCATTGATGAACGCGTAGCACTGGATAACATTCATTGTGATTCCCTCCTTTTTTGTTTTGAAAGATGCCTTGGTGATCCTTGGTCCATGAGATTTACGTGTTTTACGTGCTTCTTTGGATAGCATCAGAACAACATCTGAGTGTGATGAGCATTTTCTTCGTGAGCAGAGGATAGCAGCATCTCTCCCGAATCTAACCTTTTCTGTCCAGTTTGGAGCCAGTGAGTTTCACTGGTTCCGAGCACCTTCACGTTGTATCTTCTCATTTTCGCAGCTACTTGAATCGCTTCCCCGGTCTGTTACATTCTACGGGATGGGGTTACTGACCCCACACCTAACATTCCTCGTTTGCTCGGGCTTAGTACCTACAGTAACCCTAATAATGTTGTTATTATTTCACTCATATACTCTAATTTTCGTTCATTGTCTCTTTTTATTGCACTCACTTTTTCTTTGAGGAGCCTGCTTTCAACAAATCCTGTGATACTTCGAATTAAGTAAAAAATCTTTATTCTTATTACCCTAATCACCTTATCTCGTAAGTTTATTTCAAACAGCTAGGGCATAATCTCAATAGAACAATTTTTCGGAATTCCTTGAAAAATGCTTTGTGAATTATACTTTGAATAAGTTTTTAAATTCTAAAACCATACCTTTCTTTTAGAATTAAAAGCCATACTCAGCATTCATCTTGACATGTATTCTCGAAAGTATTGTTCTTTGTTGTCTTTGAAGGAAAGTTAGTAAACCTTATTCTGTCGATTTTTGACATCTGTGATAACAAATATCAAAAAAAGTTTTATTTAATACTAATCAGTCAATCAGTCAGTAACAACGTAGAACTTCGTACGTATGTACATCAGTTCGAGTTGCCACACCATATTAGCACAGAGATGCAGTGGTCGATTCAAATCCCGTAGTGCTAGATGTAGTAAAATTATAAGCTGTAATCAGAAAACTTACGGTTTGAAGATGTTATTCAAAGCGTATAATCCAATGAAATAAATTTGGAAAGAGAAAAAAGAAAGGAACATGAAGAAGTCAAAAAATTAGAATTTGGGAGAACACAAATAGTGGATGCACCTGCGCCATTGCAAACGATTTTGAGCCATGTCATTCAGGGTCTCTAACCATCGGTTGCTATCATCTCGCGGTCCTCAACCAGGTAGTCTACACCTACCAACATGACTCAGTCCACTTGTCAGTGACTTTATGGACTTGTGCCATGTTTTGGTCTGGCCGCCTCTAGGGGGGAGTGGCCCCCTAAGAAAACCACCTGCTTCGGTTTGGGCACCCGGGCAGTATCACAGCCCTCACACATATCGAATGAGATTTGTGTGGCGCATATGTATTTGGTGCCTCTTTGTACCATTATCTATGTGTTGAAATAAATATAAACCTACTCCTATACCACTGAACATCGCATGTCGAGGCAGTCGGTCGTTGGGCATCCGTAACACGTGTCCCAGCCATCTCAACTGATGAAGTTTCACTACGTCATCAATTGATTTGCAATCCTTACCTAGTACCCGTTTCCTAACAACTGCGTTACTTACTCGATGGTCCCATGATATACGAGCAATGTTTCGAAGACACCTATGATCAAATACTAGTAACCTACGAATATACCGGCCATGTTTCACTGCCATAAAGTAGGACGGAACGAACTGCTGCACAGTAAACACGTCCTTTGGTTCATAGACAGATGTCTCGCCTACGCCATAAATGACACAAGTTGATAAAAGCTAGTCGAGCCTTCTATATCCGTGCTGAGATTTCGTCACACACTAGACCATAAGGGCTGATGAGATTTCCAAGATAAGTGAAGCGATCGACATGCTCAATTACTTCACTCCCTATCATTAGTTCGGGTGTCAATGCAACCCAATCCTGAAGCAACATTTTGCATTTCGAGAGCGAGAATCGCATCCCAAACATGCTTGCATTGTTGCTTGTAGTGGTCAGAAGACTGGATTTCGTCAACGTCTTCACCAAATAGAACTATGTCATCTGCATATTCTAAGTCAACAAGTGAACCTCCCGGTAAAAGTTCAACCCCTGGAAAGTCAGATGAGGAAAGTGTTCCGTTCATTCGGACAGCGCACAAACGACTGTCTACTGGGATCCACTCTAAGAGAGCTAGTTCTACCCTAGGACTCAATGCTATACCTACACTGGCGAGGTCACGAGAAGCAGCATCAGGGCTTCCAAATACACGAAGTGTGAATCGAGCTGGTTCTTTATTTTGACATGGTGAGGTCAAATGAATGACGCCACTCGGATCCTGTGCGTTTCGGAGACGCAGCACACACCTATGGAGCGGGATTCTAAAGTCCTAGCTAAGGAAGCCTGCTGTCCTATTTGGCAGTGTTCGGACGTTAAAAGCTCCTGCGTGTAGTTTAGAGCGTGGTTTCAGGAGACCAGGAATAGTGTTCTGCGTACTCGAATGGTTCGCCCTAGCGGTGCGAGGTGATAAAGAGACGTGAGGAGGGTTAGTCATGGAGATAAGAGAGTTATTCGTAGGTGTAGGAAGGATTTGAATGTGACCAACTTGGTCTTGTATGCTGTTATAGTAATGAGGGCTGATATCACTTCCCGGCTGCCCACACCGTGAAAGGGTATTTCTTGAGGAACCTGAAAAGGAAATTGGATTAGTGTTGGTCTTAACGACCTGGGAGCGTGACCGCAGAGCCCAATGGACAACTGCTTGAGGCCGGTCGCGCACGGCCTTCTCGTGGAAGGTTTTTAATGTGTTAGCTCCGTTCTTCAAAGGGCCTTACCGCCGGAGACGGAAATCGTGAGGTGTGACATCTTTAGGGTCGATCTTTTCTAACCCCACCCCTCCTTGTGGGAAAGAACCATCGCTGTCATGCTGGTTGTCCGAGGGAAACACCTTACTGCTGTCACACCCCTCTACAGTCAGCAGTACAACTTCGCCCTCAGACCTTGAGTTGCTATTTTTAGATTTGGGAGGAGGAACAAGTGCGATGAACTGGAAAGAAGGACACCTCATCAAGATTCCAAAGAAAGGAGATCTGAGCAAATGTGAAAACTACAGAGGCATTACACTACTGTCAATACCAGGGAAAGTCTTTAACAGAGTGTTGCTGAACCGAATGAAAGACGCAGTAGAAGCTCAACTTTGAGATCAACAAGCTGGATTCCGTAGGGATCGGTCGTGCACAGACCAAATTGCGACACTACAGATCATCGTGGAACAATCAATTGAGTGGAACTCGTCACTGTACATCAACTTCATTGATTATGAAAAGGTATTCGACAGTGTAGATAGGACATTATGGAAACTTCTTCGACACTACGGAGTTCCTGAGAAGATTGTCAACATTATCCGGAACTCATACGACGGACTACAGTGCGAAGTAGTGCATGGAGGACAGCTGACAGATGAATTCCAAGTAAGGACCGGAGTCAGACAAGGCTGTCAACTCTCTCCCTTCCTCTTTCTTCTGATGGTCGACTGGATTATGAAGACCCCGACATCTGAGGGAAAACACGGCATACAATGGACAGCTCAGAACCAATTGGACGATTGGGACTTCGCAGATGACCTAGCCCTCCTATCGCATACACATCAACAAATGCAGATAAAGACAGCCAGTGTAGCAGCAGTAGGCCTCAACATACACGAGGGGAAAACCAAGGTCCGCAAATACAACACGGAGAACAACAATCCAATCACTCTTGATAGCGAAACTCTGGAAGATGTAGAATCCATCATATATCTGGGAAGCATCATCGATGAACAAGGAGGTTCAGATGCAGACGTAAAGGCAAGGATTGACAAAGCAAGAGCCGCACTCCTACAATTGAAGAACATATGGAACTCAAGACAACTTTCAACCAACACCAAAGTCACAATCCTCAATACGAACATCAAGACAGTCAGTTCTACGATACGGAGCTGAAACTTGGAGAACTACAACAACCACCATCAAGAAGGTACAAGTATTTATAAATGGTTGTCTACGCAAGATACTCAACATCTATTAGCCGGATACCACCAGCAACAGCCTTTTCTGGGAGAGAACAAACCAGCTTCCAGCTGAAGAAGAAATTAGGAAAAGACGATGGAAATGGATAGGATATACATCACGCAAATCAACAAACTGCATCAGGAGGCGAGCCCTAACTTGGAATCCTGAAGGAAAGCGGAAAAGAGGAAGGCCAAGGAACACATTACGCCGGGAAATAGAATCAAATATGTAAAGAATGAATAACAACTGAAAGGAGCTGGAAATGATTGCCCAGGACAGGGTTGGATGGAGAATGCTGGTGAGCCGCCTATGCTCCTTCACGAGGGGTAACAGGTGAAGTAAGTATGTAATATTCAAAGGTTTGACGTCTGACACTTTTTATCGTTATTAAATGGTACACTGAGAACCGCAATCACGTTTTTATTACTTTAGTGAAATTCCTGGTTATATCGGACATCTTTTTCTTGGTGGTCTTACGGTGCCGTCTGCCAAGCTCGCACATGTCAGTTCACGTGATAAAGTTTTAGACGGAAAAGTCGTAGAATGTGTATGCGTTCCTGGTGTCGGTTGGAAAGTTCTACGTGTGCGCACTGACAAGACAGAGCCGAACTATCACAAATCAGGAGTCGGTAAGTTTTTATTATTGAGTTTTTGATATTTTATGAACGTTTGAAATCAAGTAAAATCTACACTCCATGGTCAAGCAGGTTGTATATCAAGATGATTTAAAATATAAACGAGGTACTTTAGATTAATCAAATTGTTAAAGTTTAGCTCAAGAGAAAACAATGTGATAAAGAAGTGAAGAGTATATATAACACTTCCTAGTCACTTTAGCCACTAAACGACTAAGCCTTAACGATCGACTTATTCATACCTTAGATCAAACCGTTGCCTATATCATTACTTGCTTGTTGGTTCCACGATACGTAAACAGTGCTTTGGAGATACTTATGATCAAATACTTGCAACTTACGCATTCATTCCACTTCTAACCTAATTGAGCCACTCTGTGTGAACACTAGTGATATTGTGTTGTGTGCTACTGATGTCGACAGATATAAGTAGTATGTATCATCAATCGGAAGTGAAACGCGTTGCGGCAGGTTAACAAGATCGAAGAAAAAAGAATGAGGACAGAAAATGATTAGTGTGAAAACGAAGGAACAATCAAATTTAAGACGATTGATTGATATTTTGCAAATGAAGTATTTACTGTATGGTTCCTAGGTTTTACTAAGAGATTCGGTTGTCTCCACTAGTGTTCTCGTTCACTGCAATGTCACCCAGCCTCCTAAACTGAAGTAGGTGGTACAGAGCTAATCGAAAGCCGAATATTTCAATCAGTGAACCATTGCTCCAGAATTTACTTCCAAACATCACTTTTTATAGATGTATATCAATACAGATTCGCTTGATGCACAGTATGTTTGTTGTTTGGTAAACGGGAACATCCTACTCATACTAGGACGAAACGGTCGTCCGGTGCTTCCAGGTTTTAAATACTGGTCTAGCTTAAATCGACTCATGAATTCAACTATTAAAATTACAGTTTACTCAATTTGTCAAAAATCAAGTGGCTTTAACCATAGTGATTTTGTCACCCACGGAGACTTTCGAGATAAGAAAAATGATCAACAAAATCACTTCAACAGTTATGAAAAAATACTTGAGAAACAAAGATAAATACGTACTTTAACCGTACTCACAGCTAATGTGACCACTATAGTACTAATTGTTAGTTTCTGAGAAATCCCAACTTTTTTTTACATGAATAGTGACAGATAAACCAATATCCACGCAAACGACTGTACCTTGGTAGTACTAAGTTTCACGGGCTCTCCACAATTAAATTATACTTAGTCCGGACGGTAAGACTAATAATCTTCAAAGCATCATATCGAAGAAGAATAGGTGGCTGTCTAGTTCAGTCATCTAATAGCTACACAATAAAAAGGTTGTTTTTTTTTATAACTGCATGTGGCTATTTAAGAATGTTAGTAAACAGTAACCATGTTTTATATTTTATGCTAGCCATTATCGAAAGTATCATGTATCCTGTAACAGCTGAGCAGCTGGTTATGTGTGTTCGACAACGCCAGAACAAGACAAATCCACAACAACAAGCCTCTTCTTCTCGAGAACCTACTGCATCACATCACAAATAATGATCTCATGATCTAAAAATTATAACCACCTAACTTGTTTGTAAAAATTGCATGATTATCAGTTGGTTTAATACAGTATTTTTCTGAATTTAATATGAATATCGTTCATGTAAATATGAGGATTTTGTAAAAAAAAATAGTTTGTGTACAATAACTGTCGTTTATATCTTGTCATATTTTCTGTCAGGTACATTTTAAAAACTTTATAATCTGTTTAATATAATGGAACAGAAAAGTGGTTAAAAGACATCCATATTTTTAATAGTTAATGATATCATATGGCTGATCTGGGGATGTACACGCTTGCTTTAGTGGTTCCTGTTGAGGAAACTGGATTCACTGAGGCCATTATCAAAGAGGTTACATCAAGACGAATACGGTAAGCTCCAACAAGAACAACTGAATCATATGATGCAATCTGAAATAAATCAACCAAACCAATGGATATAGTTCCTATTTAATATAGACATTACGGTTTATCTTGTACAATGTGCTTTGTTATAATCCTAGTTTTTTTAAATAGTAAAAGGATTATATTCGCCTAAAGAACCCGTATTACACTCAGTTCAATATGCAGAGATATGCCGTTCCTTTGAATCTTAGTCCAAGCACCACACAAAAATTACAAGTACTTGGGTATCAAGTGAGGCAATAATATGTTTGAACACTGTTCCTACCATTTGTATGCTTGAAGCTACAAGTCATCAGATGTGAAGATAACGACAAGTGATGATCCACTTATTCATATTGCTACTTAACGACTACTAAGCGCAATCATGTTTCGACATTTTTAAGTTGTGGATGCACTGACCTCAGCTTAATGGTGGATACGTTACCGAATGAAGAGGTATATTCATCTAGATAGCCAGTTTTTTGCACGTTGCTTACTTTACGCATAAAATCAGCTCAACCACACAACATTTGCTATAAATTACCATGAAATAGGACTCATTATACTAAAATAGAAACATAGTGAATATCGACATGTCTAAAAAAGCATACCTGAGCTGTTTCACCAATTGATTGGTCTTGGGTACGTAGCTCTAGGCAGATAGTATTAAGTCCACCACTCCTAATTACTGTAGATACTGAATATACGCAAATACCAGAATACTCGGAAGACAAGGGTATCACGGTACAGTGTTTTTTTGTTCCATTAAAGCTCAATGATAGTGATTCCATGGGAGGTCCAGTGAGCCAGCAAGAGACATGATTGTCCTATTGATGAAAACGTCAAAAGTAAAGCATGCATAGATGTAATCTAATTGGAACTTTTCGATACTATTCTAAACCGATCGGCGTATGTAAGTTGGATGTGAACTAACAGTAATTAGAAACTACTATACATATAACCTTAAATACCCTAGTACAGCCGAGGTGGGGAGAGTTCCCCTTCACTCTCGAAATACTCTCATAAGAAAAAGATACTCACAAACTAATCTGCAATCATTTGGTAACATTAATTTCCATTTTACAGTGCGTCACTCGTATGTTCCCATTTTGTGTATTATATTTTTCAATTTGCCCGACCGTAGATGCTACCTTGACGTATTGGTCGGGCTTGCCTATCGTGATGACCCAACCGGGCTATATTGGCTGGAACATATGTTCCTGTAGGTTCTACCATGCCAGACAGGTTGATTGGAGAACGGTAAGACTAAAAATAGCAACTCAAGGTCTGAGGGCGAAGTTGTACTGCTGACTGTAGAGGGGTGTGACAGCAGTAAGGTGTTTCCCTCGGACAACCAGCATGACAGCGATGGTGCTTTCCCACAAGGAGGGGTGGGGTTAGAAAAGATCGACCCTAAAGATGTCACACCTCACGATTTCCGTCTCCGGCGGTAAGGCTCTTTGAAGAACGGAGCTAACACATTAAAAACCTTCCACGAGAAGGCCGTGCGCGACCGGCCTCAAGCAGTTGTCCATTGGGCTCTGCGGTCACGCTCCCAGGTCGTTAAGACCAACACTAATCCAATTTCCTTTTCAGGTTCCTCAAGAAATACCCTTTCACGGTGTGGGCAGCCGGGAAGTGATATCAGCCCTCATTACCATAACAGCATACAAGACCAAGTTGGTCACATTCAAATCCTTCCTACACCTACGAATAACTCTCTTATCTCCATGACTAACCCTCCTCACGTCTCTTTATCACCTCGCACCGCTAGGGCGAACCATTCGAGTACGCGGAACACTATTCCTGGTCTCCTGAAACCACGCTCTAAACTACACGCAGGAGCTTTTAACGTCCGAACACTGCCAAATAGGACAGCAGGCTTCCTTAGCTAGGACTTTAGAATCCCGCTCCATAGGTGTGTGCTGCGTCTCCGAAACGCACAGGATCCGAGTGGCGTCATTCATTTGACCTCACCATGTCAAAATAAAGAACCAGCTCGATTCACACTTCGTGTATTTGGAAGCCCTGATGCTGCTTCTCGTGACCTCGCCAGTGTAGGTATAGCATTGAGTCCTAGGGTAGAACTAGCTCTCTTAGAGTGGATCCCAGTAGACAGTCGTTTGTGCGCTGTCCGAATGAACGGAACACTTTCCTCATCTGACTTTCCAGGGGTTGAACTTTTACCGGGAGGTTCACTTGTTGACTTAGAATATGCAGATGACATAGTTCTATTTGATGAAGACGTTGACGAAATCCAGTCTTCTGACCACTACAAGCAACAATGCAAGCATGTTTGGGATGCGATTCTCGCTCTCGAAATGCAAAATGTTGCTTCAGGATTGGGTTGCATTGACACCCGAACTAATGATAGGGAGTGAAGTAATTGAGCATGTCGATCGCTTCACTTATCTTGGAAATCTCATCAGCCCTTATGGTCTAGTGTGTGACGAAATCTCAGCACGGATATAGAAGGCTCGACTAGCTTTTATCAACTTGTGTCATTTATGGCGTAGGCGAGACATCTGTCTATGAACCAAAGGACGTGTTTACTGTGCAGCAGTTCGTTCCGTCCTACTTTATGGCAGTGAAACATGGCCGGTATATTCGTAGGTTACTAGTATTTGACGGAGAGCGTGGCACAGACTACAGAGAATGTTGCACGGCGAGCATGAACCACCGCAAAAACGACTTCTTTAAAGGGAGGGACGATGTGGTGTGAGCTACTTATATTGCTATAAGTAGTATATAACGTGCGTTAAAGGAACGTAATGTCTGGCAGCGGAAGATGGCGAAGATCAAAAAGGTAGAGTGAGAACACATTGGAATTTGTAAGAAAATGCATGAACAATGGAATGGGAGACAATGAATTGGTGTTTGCAACAGAAACAGTCCAGTTTGGTTTGATGCATGAATATTTTGCAAATTGACGATTGACTATATGGTATTCAGATTTTGTTGAGATAGACTGTAATTGTTACGCTAAATACGTCCGTTTTTCCCCACCTGTTTTCTCGTTCACTACACCTCTACCTCTATGGTATTTGAATGGACAACTGTATCTCTGTGATAATGTGGTACGGCAACCCGAACTGATGTACTTACGTACAAAGTTCTACGTTGTTACTGACTGACTGACTGGTTTTTCAATTTACACAGCAGCTTACATATGGTGGAAAACCTGTCCTATATAAACGATCTCAAGTCACTGACTGGTCGAAAGTTGAACGCTACCATTGAACAAAAATACCGAAACAGTCTTTCTGAAACCACGTATACCATTCGAACAGGGCGCCGTTTACGTTTGCACACTGATCGGACAACAGATATGGCTGACTATGTCTTTATAAAGTCAATATCAATGTATGTTGTCTATTCGAGACCATATTCAAGACTCTAGTGAAGCACTACAAATTCGCTCTCCATCTGTTGCTTTGAAAAGTTTGTTTCACGTGCATTTATCCGGGGTCCCTGTGGCATCTACGTCTGGTTTTGCTGGCGTTGATATCTCACTAAGCGCTGAAGTAGCACTGACCGACTGGATCGTCAATAATAGTCAGTTATGTGCTGATAAATTAAAAAGTTCCATCAAAGTGATAAGACATCGGTATCAGCAACTATATAATTTCGTCACACCACACCCCCGCTTACATTTTGACAGATCGCAGCTCGGATGCGATGAAGAATGAGGTTTACCACCAATTAACTGTTCTAGAGAAAGCACATTCGACGGATATTGTGATGCTCGACGGGGACTTGAATGCTCAAGTCGTGCGGCTGGGCACAGAAAAGAGTCGTTTAGGTGGCCGATGGAAACTTGTTAGTTAGGTCATATAATGATGACCGTCTACTGCAACTGTGCGCAGACTACCTGTCTTTGGTTAGCACTAACTACCGGCGCAACCATCGCCGACGTGCTACCTGGCGCCCTACCTCTCCATCTCAAGTCTGATTACATTCCGATCAGCTACCACTAACGTCGTTATGTACAAAACTGCCGCTCCTTCTAAAGTACTTGTCTAAACGCTGACCATGCTTTTGTTTGCGCTAATCTTACCTTACGCTTCAGTGGCCAATAAATTTATCATCCTAAACGGATAGATGTTAGCAAATTGATTGCAGCTTCTGTTGTAACTAAATATCAAACCGAGCTAGGTTCAAGGCTAGCTATCAACCCACTGAAAAATATAGATGAGCATTGGTTGCAATTGCATGACGCTATGAAAATGGAGAGTGAAGTCGCTTGCGGCTTTGCGAAATGTCCCGCTTATAAGCACTGGGTTTCTACAGGCTCATTACAACTCGTTGAAACCCGTCTGTCTACTCGGGCCAACCACGAGTTTGACCGTACACGAAGACTGTTACGAAATGAAATTGGGAAAAGGGCCGATAATCCTAGTGGGTCGAATGTGCCAATGAGTTGGAGGTAGCAGCCGCATCTGGTGACTGTTCCAACTCATCCGAGTCACTGGCAGTGAGAATCCTGATGCGAGAGAAGCTGATGGGATGCCAATCAATACCATCTGATGGTTTGGACGATGGGTAGCTTTTCAAGGAACAGTTCGACTGGTCTGTTGCTTGGGCGTAGTCGTTCAGACTGTCCTGTACCCACGGTCGATGACAACTGATCTACCTAACGAGGCGGAAGTTCGCTGCTGGTGGCGAGATCAGTTCATGGATAGTAAAATTCAGAGCCTCTTATACCATTCTGGGCCATCTTTGGCGCGTTCGCAAAGTTAATCTGTACTATGATTGTTGTCTGAAATAGCTCCACATCATGGATTATTTGCGAACGCTGGATCTAACTGGGAAAATTTGGAGAGGTGGTCAGTTTATGACATCATGTCGTGGTGCGGAAGAAAGCTGTATAGGACTGGCTTCTGTTGGGTTTCCGTAACTCCCTGGTTGGGCTCAAAGAGTTAATGCAACAAAGTGGCTTGAGACGTAATCAGACATAGGTTAGAATGGAAGCAAGTAGCGATCTTGGTATAACTTTCTTCAAAAGAGTGAGAGGAACTTCTTTAACTTAAAAGTTCCTTGTGGTTGTATTTTTAATAACTGAACTGCTTCTCCCACTACTTTTTACTTTCACTCACTAGTTTTCATTCACTTATTGTATGTTTTCACGATACTTACTTTTATTTCTTCACAATCTTATTTTCTTATTGTGTTGCATATTTGTGCTTAAATAATGATTATAGTAATAACTTGGCAAGTAGGTTGTTTGATCATTTTCGACGTCTATATCAGTTATGCAGTTTAATAAAGGATAACAATGTAGAATAGAGAAATAAGCAAAAAGAAATCAGTACTATGAAAAAAAATCCCAGAGATGAAAGTTACATACAGTGGCTTAGATAATGACAGACATGGTGCGTACTAATGTTAAATAGAGTTTTAAACAAAATAATTGGTGCTGCAGCAATGAGTAGTTGCTTCATTGTGACTTTTTTTTTTACTGTCTTGTCCATTTTGGTGTATTATTTTAGGCTGTTGTGTGTAAGTAATGTTAACACCACAAACGAGAAAATCTAACTACTGTACTGTCGCTACTAATTCTAATAAAGTTATCTGCGAACTTAATAGTTCAAGGGTATAAAAACAACTATTTGTATTTGGAAAACTACTATATTAGTTAGTAGTAGACAACAGAGGCGTTACACGCGTCCATAATTGGATGTTGAAAATATGTATGTTGAAAACACATTTGTAATAAAATAATCGCTTATTACTTACTTTGAATGCAAAAGTAAAAAATGTAATGATATTACACAAAAACGTACTGATAACTGCGCTCGAATCACATATACGAATATCAGCTCGTCAGACGGTGTCGATCCACTGGAAGATTCTTTATTCCCCATTTGTACACTGCGTGAGCCATACCCAGGAGGTGTTTTAAAGTACAAAACAAAGCGACTAAGCTCTTCTGAAGAGAAGATTTGAACAGGAAACAAACTCAAAGACATTGTCTCTGGTAAATGTCCTGGTTCTATCAAAGTCAGATGATTTGGTAGAGTCGTTGCTACTATTTCAGCAACAGCTTTATCAACCCTAAACAAAGTAGTTTCATATTAATAAGGGTAAATACTTAATACAGTTAAAATCGTCACTTATCAGTTAACTTGAATACCTAAAATGTCAAATGCTCCTGACGAAAATTATGGTTTGCAATACATAAAAATACGTAAGACATTAAAATAATTATGAGAGGGTTTAAAACCAGGGTTTTAGCCACAATCAGATATGAATAATCTGGATAGATTCGATTCATTAATCGCATTTTGTTATTTGCAGCATAAATGATATCTTCTACAAGGACGACTAAAACCCAGAATTTAGTCGCTCTTTTTGTCGATGCATTTTAGACTAGTCATTTTACTTACTTCGGGACAATTGCTTTCAGGATGAAAAAGATTTTGATTCAATTTAAAACGGTATATGCATGCTTGACAAGTAAGATAAGTTCTTACATACATACTTGTATTGATAGAAAGAACTTGTAACTACCTACAAAAATCATTCCAAACTTTAGTCATCTTAATGTTGGAAACAATTGTAATATCAAAAAACAAATACCAATCTAAAGTTAGATACTTACTCAACTGTTCTTTTTAAAATATCTTGTTCTATAACTGTTTGATGCATTTGGCGAGCTAAATGTAGTGGTGATACCACAAAAGTATGCCCATCAGATGGCATCGGATTCGGATTAGCTCCATGGCTTAAGAGAAATCGTGCACAATGAACCCATCCACGACGGGTAGCCTAAAAGGCGATGGAAAGATGGTTCGAATTACGCATATTTCAAAAAGATTTCCTAAGAATAAAAATAAGCAGATGGTTAACCCATAAAAACTTACACGGGTAAGAGCGCATTCACCATGGCAATTAATAGTGTTGACTAACGCTCCTGCATCTAACAGCAGTGATAAAACAGTGAGATGACCCTGAATGATTGAATTTTGAAGAAAAAGATTAGTTTTATGTGTTAAAAAATACGTATTTGAGTAAAAGAACAAAGTTTCCAAGTTAAAATAACACATTTTACAGTGAATAAGCGGACGCATGATACGCAGAACTTGCTCTTCCTACACCGTGGAAATCTTGTAGATTTCAGTGTTGCACAAATGTCGACAACGCTTTTGAGTTGTACTTGATAAGCAGATATTGGATTATATTAACGACAAACTCGACAGTAAGGCTGAAATACTAGGTTAGAGCCACAATGAAGAGCTGAGTTAAAATTAATACTTATCTTTTCTAAATGTGTAAATTACACAACCTACTTCGGTTTGGGCACCCGAGCAGTATCACAGCCCTCACACAAATCGAGTGATTTATGTGGGGCATATCTACTTGGTGCCTCCTTGTACCAATGTTTATGTGTTTAAATAATAATAATAATAATAATAATAATAATAATAATAATAATAATAATAATAATAATAATAATAACACAACACGCGATCAGTTCAAGTGACTCGAAAAGAGGAAATATGTGATTTTAATCAAAAATTTCACATCTCTTGTAGATTAGAACAATTAAGCCGATGTACAACTCAAACGGTAGTTCATCTACCAATTACCGGCGTACATTCTCGGCTCTGCGTTATGCTTTCTTGTGTAGCTGAAATAGTTATACTAACCAGATGCACAAACCTAAGTAGATGGAACTGAATCCGAACCTATGAACTAACTCAAGAAAACCGAGCCCTTAAGACGGTTTACCATAATTACTTCCTCACTAACTAATCAGTCTAGGATTTGATAAAATAGTGTACTGTTACATGTCTCATGGCAAGTCAAAAAAAATAAAAACAATCATAAAGGGAAGAGTCCCTTTCTGAGAATATGCTAATGTGTAAGAAATAGTGTTTACGATGGTGGAGAAGATTTGTAGCTCAGGTGGATGATTTTGGTGGAGTTTTGTTCTCTTAGCTGGATGGCTTGGTCGTGGAGCTTTCATCGTTCTCCTGAACCATCCAGCTCAGAGAACAAAACTCCAACAAAAAAAAGAAATAGTGTTTACACTTCATAATCCATGTACTAGATCCTATTAAAAACTATCATATGCGAGACTGCATATTTACCTCTCAAATTAGAGATAAATGAGAACAACGATTGTAATATGACACATACTACAAGGCTACACCATATTATATGGCAAGACTGTTCCAAATACATCATACACTTCAGTTAAAGCTTGATGCAATGAGCATAAGAGATCATTCCAATGACTAATCACCTCAGAAGGCTAAATGCTGATTTTGACACTTATTCACGTATGTTTTTAATTAAGGTCTTCTGCATAAATCAAGTGCGTGTATCATCAGTTGTTTTATAGAAATCTACGAATCAATAAAAATACTAATTCTCTATATTATAAGCAGAGATGGATAGTGGCTAGCAGTGGAATGGAGGACGCGCGTTTCGTCCTGTTTGGGACTCGTCAGCTGGATGTACTTGCATCTCAGAGTTGATGTTCACTCTGGGACTCGAACTCAGTACCGTTCGCTTCAAACGCCATCGCGTTATCCACTTAGCTACTGAGTCCTGATAGCCACTTGCTTGTGCAATGGGATGAAGTTTAATTCACTTGATATTGTTTTATTTGAAACTTCCCATTGATGTTTTAGGACTGAAGTTGATCAGTCTCTTATGAAGCGAACGGTATTGAGTTCGAGTCCCAGAGTGAACATCAACTCTGAGATGCAGGTACATCCAGCTGACGAGTCCCAAACAGGACGAAACGCGCGTCCTGGATTCCACTGCTAGCCACTATCCATCTCTGCTTATAATGCTTGTAAATTAAGACAATATCGAGGCATACGCACAGTATGCACTTATGTCAATAAGAGACTGATCAACTTCAGTTCTAAAACATCAATGGGAAGATTCAAATAAAACAATATCAAGTGAATTAATTCTCTATATTGTTTGTTTGGTTCGAATTCATATGATACAGCAATATAAAACATGAAAATCGAAGCACCAAATCCATCATTTCAAAATTATTAGGTGATAACACATTTACTAGAATATGTTCAATAGAAAAATAATTACAACAATGAGTAGAACGACATCCACTAGTGCTTTCTGTCATTGGTAATTAATCCCTAAATTTAAGTCTAAACTTCGTGGTAATTCGTTAATTAAATATGATGAACTTGTTACCAGTCAACAACATATGTACATAAGCTAATGGCAGACACACTTATAACATTTAAACTACTTAACTAATCGGTTTATCACACCTCACTTATCAAACAAATAATCTTCAACCTCGATTTCTCTCACTTAATATTTTTACCAATGCAGTAAGAATTCAAAAGCCTTAAGAATCAATGCATCTAAGTAACTAAAGTTCGTATTCTATGATTACTTCACTGGCTGAATGTTCTCCAGTAAATCTAAACAAAAGTTCCCCGACTTCAACTTTACAAATATTGTGTAGCCACTGAATGTAAGCAATTTTACAAAGACTAAGAAACAGACAATTTCGTTGACTGCCTCCCGCCTTGAAAGTTTCTTTGACTTTCTTGAGGTCAAGATATGTGTGATGACTGTGATACTACCTAAGTGTCCAAAGCTATGCAAGTAGTTTTAAAACGAATTAATATTCTCGAGTTTTCAATCTATAAATCTACGCTACGAAACATTGAAGCCTGTCTACATTAATGGTTTATAATAACGGTTTCAAATGGCCCTGTATAAACTTTCTATTGAACTGGTCAAATCAACGGACGCTCATTTTTGTATTAATAGTTAGGCCAGGTAATTCGTTACATGTGGGCAGTGAAATTCCTTGGAAGATGCTATAGAAACGTGGTTGTAAAACGCTCGTTAATGGATGAGTTTTTTCTTCACTTTTTTGTAGTTGGGTGTTTTAGGAACAATCTGAAATCCATTTGCAAAGGTATCTAATAATCTCTGGAACAATTATTTTAAGAGTTAAAAATAACTGACTCGATAAATCCTCTGACAGTAAAAAATCTTAACTTGAGGCAAAACTGAGGTTACAACCTCAATAGATTTTATGGAATCTTGACATCAAATCATTCAAGGACAAGCTGGAAATCAACCAACCAAAGGAATTATGCCCTTAATATGAATAAAGATCATCAAGTTAATTTATAAACTGGCAAGATTGGATGTTATGTGACTATTTTCTTAACAGTTTGGTGTTAACTACGCTTTTTACTGGATTCTAAAACAAGAAATGTGTTAGACTGTGTTATGTCCTCTAACTTGAGTGGTTTAGATGAGCTTTCATTGTTGTTCTGGATAACGCCATCAACGCTTACTTCATATGAAGTACGTTATCAAACCACTAACACTAGAGAAGACAACCAAATTTATCCGCCTGAACTGAAAGTCTCTATTATTTCAATATAAAATGTTACAATGAGGATACTGAGCGTCAGGGAAAGAGGATAATAACAAAAGTAATTGTCTTACACCATCAGCAGCATAAATTAAGGGTGTAGAACCATCAGTTGACCTTGCATTTGCTGATGCACCATGTCTGATAAGGAGACCAACAATATCCGTATAACCTAAGAAACATAAAGGTTTTAGACAGTAAGTAGACACAAGATAATACCTTACTTAAAGCACCATCAAAATACTTATATCATGAACTATTGGAAAATAATCAAACTTGCTTGAACTATACAGAATCACTGAAAACCAGTTATTTGACTGAAAGTTGATGAGTAAATACTATTAAATATAACTGGTGTATAATATCAACAAACAATTAACTTTTGAGAATTACACAGTACCAAACTACCAGCATATTTCTGGTTAGTATATCAACATATCATTCTTACAAAAAAAAGGACCTGATAGAATACATTGAAGTATAAGCAGAATAGAACAGAACCCTGATAATTTACACGATTCATCAGCATCACAAGTCCGTTTTGAAAGAGAATAAATTATTCCTAATTAGTTTTTATCACGACTGGATATAAACATACAATTTATAATACGTAATTGTAAGTATGGAAAGTATAACGAACTAAGTAGCACATACCTTTCCCAGCTGCCTTACAGATAACAGGCATATCAGCACCATAGTCAATTGGTGATATATTTGAAAACCTCAATAGTTTATAAACTTTATCGGAATCTCCAATAGAAACAGCATACCGCAAAAGTTTCACTATTACATAATATTAATTATCTATTAGCTTACTGCCATCGGATACTGCTACAGGTGTGCATTGTGTATTTCGCTGAAATAATGAGAAGAGTAGGCATTTCGAAGTCAGCATCTGGAAAAATTTCTAAATTTTAAAAAGTCATATAACCTTAATAAACGTTTGCTTATATTTTAGGTTTTTATTCTAGTTTTATTTACAAATATTTCATGGACTGTGAGTTTTTTATCTGACCATTTTGTCTTTGTAATGTTACTGAGACTTTATTTTGCGGTCATATATATATTGTGAATTAGGACAACATAAATGAGCAAACAATATTGCTTTCAATTAGATCTTCATCAGGCTTTAATATACATTATTATTTGTATGCACATGTAAAACTATTGAGCCAACTAAGGCAGTTTATGAGTCAGTGATAACAGTGAAACAGATTACGTAAATAAACAACACTTAAAAATTAAAAATGATAGTGTGATGAAAAGTGTACTAGTTGTGATAAAAATAATAAAGGCTTTATTTAGCTGTCTTTATCTACATTTAGACAACATCAAATCATATTATGCATCACTAAAATATCTTTATCACAGACGGCGAATTTATGTTTCTGACAGTTATAAAAATCAGTTATTCATTTGAAATCATTTGGTGAATCTGCACTAAACATTCAACGGTCCTGAACTTTGTCATCTAGTCTTAGTAGCTCAAACTAGGAGTTAATAATTGACAACTAGACATCATATTTTTAACTAATCCCACTTTGCGTGAGTTATTTCCAATAACTAGTATCACATTTGTCACAAACAATCGATAGGAAACAATAAAATACAGGGACCATCTCTTGGAAGGAAAAATGAACACAAATGGTTAGTGCTTGTTAATCATAACCTTTAATTTATCAGAATAACTTAAATATTGACCTAAAATTCATGAATATTAAAGAGTTTACCTTTAACCGAATCGCTAGCAACAAATAGATTACAAAAGTACTAAGGAGGTCTATTTGTTCAACAATAAATGACATTTTATTTTAAAAAAGTACCGCAACGTAAAATAACGCCGAGCTATCTAATGTTGTGTAAAATCAGGTTCAAAAACTGAGTAACCAACTTTAGGGAAATACACGCCAAGTGCCAGAACTTTAGTAGACTATCGAATATTGAAAGACTTCATACAAAAGTCCATTTTCTAGGGAAAAACCAGTATTTACCCAAATTTCGAGTATGAATAGCAAACTATGTGGACACAAAGACATCATGACAGGTGACCTGCTTCGGTCTAGGAACCCGGGCATTATCACAGCCCACACACAAATCAAGTGACTTATGTTGCGCATATGTATTCGGTGCTGCTTTGTATCAATATTTATGTGTTAAAATAAATAACTGAACTAAATCAGAAGCGGAATAGATCCCCAGTCAGTCAGGCCCTGATGTAAGGTGGAGTTTTATCAAGTCTGAAGTCCTTTGTTATTGTTTAATTTACGATGACAGATGAAAATACTTCTGGAAACAATTCTTCGACGATTACAGATCTAACTACACAACCTAGTAACCCAATAAACTATGATACTGCAGATGTGAATGAATTAGACAATTTTAATAACAAAACAATAGACCATGGAGTAATTTTAGTGTTAAATGTACATATTTTTTTTCCAAGAATGGTTTTAAGTGAAGTTTAGATTTTTATATATGATCCAGTTAACCAGAGCGTTGTCGAAATGGAGTCGTGGTGCCCCAGTGTGCACTACCTCAAGTGTACTCATTTCCACGATGTTTCGCCGACCTGCCCCCCAAATGCCCTGGTACGGCCGAGAGTGGGGAGAGTCCGCTCTCCCTCTCGAAATGCTCTCACACGGCCACGCGTATATAGCCTCTGCCAGGGAAGTCCTACTCACTGCCTTCTCGTGGCGGGGGTGTTGTTTACGAAAATGAGAGGACGAAAAGCGAACGTCCGGTGCTTTAACCGGATCACAAACCAATGGTGCACATGGGCTCCAGTATCCTGCGGGAACAAATGGCGTATGAACCAATCGTTGGTCACCGGCTACCATGGGATTGCATCTCCTTACGATGCTCCACTGCCTTGTGGGTTAGACCATTAGGTTAAAGGCTCGGGGTGTGGCCCCATAAGAAAACCACCTGCTTCAGTTTGGGCACCCGGGCAGCATCACAGCCCTCACACATATCGAATGAGATTTGTGTGGCGCATATGTATTTGGTGCCTCTTTGTACCATTATCTGTGTTGAAATAAAAAATAATAATAATCGCCGACCTATAAGTAACTTTTCACTCCCATTGATTGTATTCATCAGTTTAATAAAAGCTTATATATATGAGTCACCGTTAACATTCACACTTATCTTGGTTAGCCCTGATGAGTAACTTGAACTGTTACTTGAGCTGTTTTCTTACTATTCAACGATAAGCGGTGACGTTGGATAGAAGATGCACCGTTATATGAAACAAAACTTTGTTTAAAGAAATAATATTTATTACTGTATATAACCTTAACAGCAGGATTAAAACCCAACTTCAAAAAAATATATGCGAAGTACCATAATATGGTATTATTAGTGAGGTGGAAACGAAAAACATATATATATATATATATATATATATATATATATATATATATATATACATCAGCAGAAATTTTGTATGCTTATAAAATAGTGACATAAATAATTCGAGTTACAAGCAAAGACTACAATGATTACGGTTTTAGATTGTCCTACTTGCGATTTTCATTTGGGACTGAAGAACAAAGGGAAATCTCGACTCTTCTCTCTCGAATGGAGAACGAAGTGATCAGTTTGTAAGACGACGGATTTTATCATTTTTATCACAGTAAAAATTATTTCGATCCTAGATTTTAACGCCAAGACCTTCGAGATGTGATCGCAACGACCGCAAAGGTTATTAGGATTTTAGAGTTTTACACAAGTGGAAGTCATACAACCAAAATTAACTGTACATACACTTAGAAACCGAGTTTTTCAATCGTGCGAGAAGAGCTTAGAAAAGAGTGTAGGTGTAGTTAGGAGGGAATTCTGGCGAGACTATAATTTATGAACGAACCAATAATATCTTAGATAGCAAGTCTTTAATTCATTCAATCATTTGCTTAGATATCACTTTGGCACTATAGTTTGTTAGTTCATGTTGAAAACGTAAAATATAATTCCTAACACTAACGGTCAGCTGTAAATCCTAATTACTCACACTAATCTACAATCCCCATTCAACCCTGGTAGGTAAATGGACAATTCAAGGTCATTTTTGCGTTGTGCAAGAGTTATCCATAAATAATAGTCTCGCCCGGATTCTTTAGCTACTCATACGACAGGCTAAACAAGTACGAATGTAGAGGAAAGATCGCAACTAAAACCACTCATCACAATTAACTTACTACAGAATTACTAATATATTCTTTCAAGTATACCCCTGAGCTCGCAACTATGAAATACATTCTTAATTGAAAAACTGAGTCCACTAGATATTTACTTCATTTGATAATTAAATAATCACCAAACTCGCCGTCTAGATCACGAGTTTTGACCGTAAAACAGCAATTCTTCCTTTAAGGATAAAAAAGTTTGAAACCTTGAGAAGTCAGCTAAATTATTCTACGTTTTTAAAGTGACTATCAAAGGTTAGAATATATATCTTAAAACGCAAATCCCAGTCACATGATTTCGGGGTTTCCCAAAGTCCAATGACAGTTAGCAGTTTTTCCCCCAAACCTTGGGGGATTTTCGCCACATCTGGATGAATTTCGGGGATTTTTCGCCATTTCCCCAAACTTTTCTATAACGGCTTCCCCAGAACGGACACACTTTTCCCCGAAATAAGGACATTGTGATAGTTTGACTTTACACCACTCAAACCTAATAAATTAACTCACTAGCTCTAAGCGTGCACACCCAAGACTTGAACTGATGGGAGTTGACATTAAACTAGATATAACTATAAAAAATATATATTGCTGTAATCGAATCTAACGTGGAGACTGTTCAACCATCTCTATAAATTTGTATTGAGGACAGGATAACACCAAGCCGTTTGCACGTTTATGTTTGGTTTGTAAGTACAACCTCCTTATGTCAAATATTTCAAGTGTTGCAAGCAATCAATCTCATTGGCAACTTGAAATTGTAGAACAGTAACGAAACAACTTGAAAGGTCGCCAGATTTTACTGCAACTTTAATGAACTGTTTATCACATAGAATCTCCCGACGATCAATTAAAATTAAATATTGGTTACCGACAGGCTCCTACTATTTACTGAAAAGTAAAATATTTAAAACGGTTTCAAAGGGTTTTGGACCTAGGTAAGAACCGAGGTATGTTTAACGATAAATGAGAAAAATACTAGTGGTCTGTAGAAAGATAATGTGCTTGGTCTTTGAGGATATACCAGATTTCCTCCTAAAGAGCTCCTGGGAAGTTCTTGGACTGGCTCGGATGGCAGCGAATCCCAGCGTTTGACTACTCTTAAGTTATAGAAGATGTACCGACAGTCTGTTCTGTTGTGTTGTGTCTTTAGTTTCCGGGTGTTGCTCTGAGGTTTGCATTAAAAATAAGCCCAAGCAGCTGTTATTTTGGTCGGATGTGTCTGTAAACTATCGTTGTTGCGTGTGACTTACCAACTGAAAGACGTTATTATCATATTACATTAGCGTGACTCATAATTCTAATTCATGTCCATATGATACCCAATACTGGTCGGTATGCTTGTGCGCTTCTGTGGTGTTTGTATGAGCTAACGTTTCCTTTGTACTTGTTGAATGCTTGATTTTGGATTCCAAATACAGTACATTTGTTCGTGCTTACATAGCATTTCTTGATCCGATTGTGTTATTTTTGAGATTTCTAGTGTGTACTGTAATCCAAAAACTCCTAATTATCATATTGGCATCGCGATGGAGCCTGCAATGGAACAGTTAGATATTCATTCAACTTCTGAAACTTTTGAGGATTATTTGATAGGCTTGAAATCTGGCCAAGAAAGATGTTAAAAGTGATAAAATTGTGGCACATTTCCTGACATTCATCGGAAGAGAAGCGTACAGCTTATTAAAAACTTTGTCATATCCAGAAAAACCTATCTCGTGTAAAATGCACTAATTTTGAATGCTGTGAAATAGTGAAGTTTCATAAGATGATCCGTCAAAATTACCAAAAGGTTAAAGAATTCATCCTTGAATTGCAGAAACAAGCTGCCAAATGTAATTTTGGTGATCAATTTGGCTGCAATTAAACGCAACTCAATTTCGTAAATGTGCCCTTCAGCTTAGCAACCAATCAGAATGTGGCGGGAATTATTATATCAGCCATCTTTGTACGTAATGGCGGTCGGCTATCTTCGCTTTGTGCTTCTTTTAGCTATTTCTTTTGTGTAGCTATGTAATTAATGTTTCAATGTGCTAAGATGCCGCAGTTAGTGTAATGTTCTACATGTTGGTGTGAAATTTACTTCGAATCAGCATTGTTTTTTGGGTTTTTGCTGCTTCTACTCTAGTCAATGTATTTCTTCAGTCAAGCTGGTTAGTCTTATGTTTTAAAATGAAAATCGGTTTTGTTTTGACTTGTTTTCTAGATATCCAAAGCCGAAGTTCGTTTTTTCTTAGCTGAAATAACTGTTGCTGCCTCCTGTAACTAACTGTCCGCGTGTTCATTCCTAACTGTCCTTTATGATGTTATCGGCAAAATGAAAGGGAACAATTTCTGGTTTTTAATTTTCTTCAGTATTGCGGGCAACAATATCCCACCAACGAGTCAAACTAATACTTAGTGCCTAGCAGTAGGGGATGTCAGTATTGTTTTCGAAAGTACCCAGGCTTCCGACAACCACAGATGCTACCAATCTATTGCAGAGGGTTTGTTATGAAAAAATATGTCACATAGCAGTAATGGAGGGGTTGTACGCATTACGTAGTGCGTTAAAGCAAGCTTAACATTGAAAAGCCGGAAATCTGCTATCAGTGTGTAGTGTATGTTTGCTGTTTCGGCCACAAAAGGAAGCCGAAGGGTCATGATCAGGGATTAAAAATGTAACTAACTGTTATTAAGCTCACCTTTTTATAGACCATAATTCACCACTCGCAAATTTGTTATTTTTACGGTATGATGTCAACCGTTATCTAATATGTTCACCTTTACGATGAAATGTACTTGCAAATTCTCAACTTCATATTCGAATTAATTTGTGACAACTGTCTTCCAGTTTGAGTGCTTCGTACGCCCTGGGAGACTAGATTCCTACATTATTCACAGTTCCAGTATAACTTTCTCACACAGTAAGTTCAAAGTAAACACTAGTCTTTCTAAATAAGCATGTTAAGCTAATATCCGTATTCTCTATTTCAGATGATCGATGAAGACATGTACCACGTGCATCTGTTGTATATTGTTATTTTACTCCAATTCTTACTGTTATATCTTCTGAAAAATAAAATTGCTATATGCAGCAAATACAGACTTATTGTTTTGATGGTGGTAGGGGGGTTCATTGGTTTTTTAGCAGGACTGTAGTAATATTCCCACTAAAGAGCTAAGTGAGTGCGTAGACCAATGTAAAGTACCATACAGGGTGCCTTTGAATTACTCGTGTTCCATTAGTGTCGGTAGAAGCATTACTTGCTTATCATATGACATTTGAATAAGAAGCTATGAGATTAGATGCAGGGACGGTTAGGATGTGTAACGCGTGTCCATCCATCAGTTTTCGTGGCAACTTACGGTGGCTAGAATAAGTTGTGAGAGGACCCGAGCCTGTAGGTTTCCTAAGAAAGTGACGGAGATATGCACCAAATCACCTTATGAAGAGCGCCTCCAATCACTTAACCTCTACTCATTAAAGTATAGACGTCTTAGAGGTGACCTATTTACTTACAGGATCCTTAACACTTCTGGACATTTTCTTAAACACCTATTTGAGCTTAGTCCCAGAAACTAGAGACACGACATAGCAGAATGGACTGTAGACGCAACTTCTACTCCTTAAGAGTTGTCAAATGCTGGAATTCGCTGCTCACCGAACTAGTCCAAGCGACTTCCCAGGAGTCATTTGGGAGGCGACTGGATCTTTTATTGTTAACATACCTAGGTTCCTGCTTGGAGGTTTTGGTGATCCCCTGCTAATAGACACGGAAGCCTGAACACATGAATTAGGTGATGAGAGGCTCGATTATCACAAGTTTCTTGCAACGATTAAGTAGATAAAACAAAGTAGCATTAGGTTCAAAAATTTATTCCAGAACTTTCATTAAGAATCGAATATGAAACAAAGGTTTAAACCAAGTTCCAGTCTAAAAGTTGCATTTGTAATGTTAAGCTGCAGTTTTTGTTGTTTTTTCCAAACGAAAGGGTAAAAGAAGTAACTCAAAAAGTACTGGAAGTGGTTGTGAGATTAAAATGGACATCCAGCATCCTTTTTATAATCTGCTGTTAGTTGGGTCTCCCGTAAACTGATCCATAGGGCCATAGTTCTAAGGGCGAACCAGTTCTTAACATCTGTGAAGACTCAGTCCTGTTGCATTCTAAATGAGAAAACAGTAATGAATTTAGTCAGAAATGTGGAATAGATAAATAACCAAATTACATGTATTTTAGCAAAGAATTTATGCAGTTGTGATTTACCTTTAGTTCATGAATATTAGGTCAGGTCAGCTATTTATTGTGCAAAGCATAACATGGACTTAATACCGTATCTCAATGCTTTTATTATTTTGCTCTCATTTAAGTATTACCATGTATCTGCATCTAGTTTAACAGGGAGACATACAAGCAGAGTTAGTGTTTGATGAACTAAAAGTCCTAGTTGTCAAAAAGATTCTTAACATTTGTCCACAGTCAACTGCATTTAATTGAAATACAGAACACTCATCTTCTAAGACTGTATACTGCTCTTCTACGGGCAACTAAAAGCTCAGATACTTAGCTATCCTGCTACCGATGTTATTGCTGGGGAAATTGTTTAATGACAGTGATCATGAAATATGGTCAGTGATAGATGTACAATCTAGAAATAAGCACCAAACATACTTATCGCTATCTTATAATGTATGACAGCAACAGTACCAAAAGCACTTTTTTCCTATTTTTAATCAGACTGATTTGAATCAGTATACTCATCAGAAACAGGCAACTCTACTTACTAGGCTGATCTGTTTCGTTACAGACTTCAAGCACTATACTTAAGTATACCATAATTCTTTCAACTAAACTGAATTATACGACAACCAAGAATACTAAACTAAGCAAGTGTCATAGTTATTGTTTCATTTGCACAGGCATATTGCTTAAAGTAGTTAAATGGACATAATTAAGACGATAAAACAAAAACACGAAATATAGGCCAATTGAACTTACCGAACAGAAGACAAAGAATATATATTGCTTTCCGACTGACGACAACAAGCAGTTGTTCATAAAAACATAGTTTATAGTACAATAAACCTTTCTACAGTAAAATCATGCACTGACAGTCTATCTGGAAACAATCAACTATGTGAATAAACTCACTATGACTTGAGATATCATCCCAGTATGCAATGGACGTGCAGTGAAACGCAGTCGAACGTGGCGAATAAAATATAAAAAAAGATCAAAATTAGCTATATAATCTAGTTATTTAATTAAAAATACATTATGAAATGTCAAAATCTGTGGTTACTTGAACGCACAGATGACCGGTACATTAAGTTTACATGGTTGCGTTGCGGATAAGATCACCCGATCAATTTCATGTGCAAATGAGAGATCGTTTGATTGCAGTAATTAAGATTCTGGGTGTGAAGAGAAAGCTGTTAAAAATGCAGAACTGTTCGCTTCAAGGTGCTAGAAATGCGTGTATTAAATATAGGACAGTGAATGAACTTGATATTTAGTCGATGAAAATTTCCAATATTTGCTTAGTCGTCATGATGAATTGCAATCTCAGGGTCAATCAAACTTGCGTTTGTTTAACAGTGGTTCTTATCGTCGTGTAATATGAAGAGTGTTTCAACAAGGAGTTGCAAAGCAAATCACAAAGGTAAGATAAAGTTTTGTAAATGTTATTTTCTGTGGCAAATTTTATTCTCGTAATTCACTTGCATTTCGTAATCCCAAATGTTTTAAATGCGCTAGGACAGGACATACTGGGTCAGTATGCAAAAATACTATTCATTTTGCTTCAAGTAGTACTAAATCTT